GTAGACAACCCCCACACCACCACTTCCATCCAGGAGGCAACCCCTACACTGCCACTCCCATCCAGTAGACAACCCCCATACCACCACTCTCATCCAGTAAGCAAAGCCACACCACCAATCCCATCCAGTAGGCAACCCCCACACCACCAATCCCATGCAGTAGGCAACCCCCACACCACCAATCTTATCCAGTAGGCAACTCCCACACCACCAATCTTATCCAGTAGGCAACCCCCACACCACCAATCTTATCCAGTAGGCAACTCCCACACCGGCCTCCAATCCAGTAGGCAACCCCCACACCGGCCTCCAATCCAGTAGGCAACCCCCACACCGGCCTCCAATCCAGTATACAGTACGTATAAAGAAACCTCAAACTCATCTCATTTTATCAGAAAAATGAGAGAAAAATTAAATTTTCATGAGAAACCAAAATTAAGCACAATTTTAAATTTAAAAAATAAAAACTGTGTGTGTTAATCATTTTTTGGAAACAAATTGACCAGACACTGTTTTCTTTTTTTCTGGGTCTAAAACAACAATTTGATTTGCTACTCTCCACACAGAATAATGTCTTATTTGTTGTTTCAGTCAATATTTTCTGTGCTGGGTGCTAGATCTGACAGTCATTGACGGCTGCTATATGTGATTATGTAAACAATTAATTAAAAAGTTACCATAAATGGATCAAGAAATCCCAGCAAATATAGTAACTTATATGTTTACTTATTCACTGAATTTTAATTGACACATTTATAAGTGAACAAAATTCAGGAAATTATGATTAACATCAAAGAATGAAAAAGCTGTTGCAACTAGCAGAACTTCAATCAAACCATGCTATATACAGTGCCATGCAACTAATATAGAATCATTATAATTATTTTGTGGGTCTGTTATGCTAACCGATAATTGCAGTTTTCAAGCTCCAACTTATACATGAAAAATATTGGGCAACACAAAATATTCACTCAATTATTTGCTTTTTTATGAAAAATTAAAAACAAGCAAATGTATAATGTTCTACAGTATGCAAACATGCTATTATCTACTTCAAGACGCGTGCATTTTAAAAAATAAATAAATCCACTACTAACGCTGTAACCAAAAGGTAACTACAATTTTAAAATATTTTGTATCAAATAATGTTTGAAAGGATTAAATTGTAAAAGTTAAGTAGTTTTTTCATGCATACATATATAAAGGTAGTCAGCTGGTATAATGATGATGACAGTGGCAGTGATGACACCAAACATAAATCTTAAGTGAAAGATTGTGGTAAATAACTGATGTGGCTATGACACATTTCAATATTTAATTTAATTTTTTTTAAATACTATTCAAATCATAAAAACACAAATTTACGTTTGTTTCATTTTCAACTCAAATTACCAAAGTGCAATGAAAACAGCTATATAAGGTATAGTTTTTACAGTATTTAAAATATCAGACAACTTAATACTTAATATATGCATTAAAATTCCACAGCAAGCAATCCTATAAATTCTAAAGTTACAAATGAAAATAATGAATTTAGGAAAGCAGGTGCATATCAGATGATCAGCCTATCAAAAAGTGTTGAATTCGGCCAATCACAGTGCAGTGCTCTTAGTTATCCTCATGAATAATGTAGTGGTACACAGTAGTGCGAGGAACTACAGGGAGGGAAAAACCAAAGAAAAATGTGATTAAAACTTACGCTGGAGCTCACGCGAGCTTGAAATTGGTGAGGGTGAATCATCTGAGATGGCAGGTGGGGGTGTTACAGGCAGTGGTGTAATTGTGTGCAGGGTTACTGGAGAAGGCAGTTCAGCTGAAAGTGAAGTAGTGCTTCAAGTGCAGTTATTTTGTCTATTTCTATTCATGTAAGAATGTAATCAGCCAATCAGATTTAGTTGGGAAAGTAAAGCAGCCAAGTGGTGTGTACAAATCAGCCAATCAGATTTAGTTGGGATAGTAAAGCAGCCAATCAAAATATTCATGTGTTCAAATCAACCAATCAGATTTAGTTGGGAAAGTAAAGCAGCCAATTGGTGTGTACAAATCAGCCAATCAGATTTAGTTGGGAAAGTAAAGCAGCCAATCAAAATATTCATGTGGTCAAATCAACCAATCAGATTTAGTTGGGAAATCTGACTATGTCTACATATAAAAAATCAAAGCAATTGGAACAGCTATTTACAAGAAGAAGTCAAAAATAGCAAATATTCACTGAAATTAGAGAATTAAAGGTATCATCACAAAATGAACAAATCTGAGAAAGAACCAACCAAGATACATTTTAAATGAGTATGAAATTGACGCCAATGAACAATTATAATTGTAATTATAATACAGTTTGGCTATTTTCTAATACAGTTATTTGTTGTGCCAATTCAGCATAGGTATAATATAAGGGAATGAATGGAAGCATAGAGGTAATTTAACATTAGTTATCAGTAAATTTTTCATGTGCAAACACAGTATTTTTCAATCAAACTATTGAAAGTGATGTAGTCTAGACTCAGTACTATGTACCTTCAGGTGATCATGAATGACATCTTCACTTTATACTATATTGTTTCTTCACATCAATATACCAAAGTGGATTTGATTGCAATAAAAATATTAGTATTAATACTCAGATGTTTGCAGCATTTTAATATTAATACACCACTCCAGTAATGTCTAGATATGATGCTAGTAATATCTCATCACACTGAGCTACTGACCATAGTGTGTAATATTTGTATAATAGTAATGAACTACAATTATTGGATTGCCATATGCAGCAAGTGATTACACCTGTAATTAGCTGTAACATTCATAAAGAATTGTAAACACTTACCATAATCCATATCTTGTTGTCGTTTACGTTTATTTTGTAGATATAATAATTCCTCTTGTAATCGTTGGTTTTCCATTTCTAACATCCATTGCTGCTGGTCAAATCCATTATCTGACAAATTGATTATGCAAATGAAGTGACTGACTTGCATTAACTAAAACAGCATGTCATGTTGTACAATCGGTAGGATAGTATACTCATGCAAAAAATTCTAATTAATTAACAACATTATAAAATAAAAATCTGACATCAAAATGACAAGATTGATCCACAAAAAACAAAATGTACTAAATGGACATAATAAAATTATCTATAAAGACCTTGATCAAAATCTTTGTAAAAACATGTTTATACAAAAATGAAGATTTATTTTGTGAAAGATTATTAAAGTTGACTTTTGACAAGGTAGTAGTATCTCATTCAATAGACACAAAGGATCCATTCATTGAGGCTGGCAGCAGTACATTGAGGAACACAATAAATCCTTTGTCTTTGTGTACAACATTCATCATACAGCAGTCACCAATTAAAAATTTAACAATCTTACAATAGTTACACAAGTATTATTCAACACAGAATAAATACCAGCTGATTTAAAGCTAATTTAGCTTGCATTCATATGCATCATATAACTGAACTGTGCAAAGTAGTCTGTCTAATTAGATCTCATAGTAGTATTTTTAGCTGATACTACCAAGTTAAGATAATTATGACACACATTTTAAAAATTGTCAGTTCTATATATAATATAATTCTAAGCCAATTAGTGGAGCAGAATTGTTTAATTTCAGTGAGTATTCAAGAATAACATTTATTCAATTATTCAATTATCAATATTACGAGGTATGTACGACCTC